CAGCAAACTTCGCCTTAAAGTGCTCAGAGTGCTCGTGCATCTTCTTGTTGAACTTGTCAGTGTGCTCCTGAATCATCCTCTCGAACTTCTCATAGTGCTCCTTCATCTCAGGGGATAAAGTGCTTTCGTCCGGCTTGTCCGCAAAGAACTTCTTGTTCTGTTCCTCCATCTTCTTTGCAAACTCGGCGTCCAGCCGGTCGAGCTTGGCGGAAAACTCCTCAAGGGTGGTGGCCATGTTTCACTTAAAGATATATCTTAGGTGCAATCAAACTACAAGAGAAAAGCGGCGGAGAGCACAGGAATGAATGACGGTGGCACCACCCATGAGAAAGTAAAAAAAGACAAGGCTACAGCACTGGTGGCCACGCAAACCCGGCAGTTGCCGTCTGATAAGTTCAGAAACATAACCAAACAAAAAACCCTATTCTATTAAAACATCGGAAAAAAATAGAGATAACGGCGCGTGTACCACCAGCCATAGTCACACCCATTTTTTCCCTCTCTCTGCTTACTTGCCTGGGAACTGAGCGTTCTTCTGTTGCTCGAGCAGCTCAGCAAACTTCGCCTTAAAGTGCTCAGAGTGCTCGTGCATCTTCTTGTTGAACTTGTCAGTGTGCTCCTGAATCATCCTCTCGAACTTCTCATAGTGCTCCTTCATCTCAGGGGATAAAGTGCTTTCGTCCGGCTTGTCCGCAAAGAACTTCTTGTTCTGTTCCTCCATCTTCTTTGCAAACTCGGCGTCCAGCCGGTCGAGCTTGGCGGAAAACTCCTCAAGGGTGGTGGCCATGTTTCACTTAAAGATATATCTTAGGTGCAATCAAACTACAAGAGAAAAGCGGCGGAGAGCACAGGAATGAATGACGGTGGCACCACCCATGAGAAAGTAAAAAAAGACAAGGCTACAGCACTGGTGGCCACGCAAACCCGGCAGTTGCCGTCTGATAAGTTCAGAAACATAACCAAACAAAAAACCCTATTCTATTAAAACATCGGAAAAAAATAGAGATAACGGCGCGTGTACCACCAGCCATAGTCACACCCATTTTTTCCCCCTCTCTGCT